AGTTTCTCACTTGTAGAAACTATACTACCTTGTAAATCAAGACATTTCCACAGCGCCAGGTGGTGCGGCGACCATTAGACACGGCAAAAACAACCCGCCAACACCCAATAAAAACTTCGCGCCTTCGTTGTCCAATGGGTGTCGGGTCTCCTAAAAATGCGAGGGTTACCAACCAGCCGCGACCATCATGCCTTGAAGTTCAGACCCAAGGTCACGCCGACACCATTATTCTCATCTTCGGCTGTCGGAAAAAAACCCGACTGGGTCTGTAGAATACTATTAATACCTCGTAAAAACATAACCGCTGCTCTGCCTGATTGACATTAAGCATGTATCCTACTCCTCGTTCGACCAGTTCCGACCGATTTTCTGGGGGGAAAAAATGGCTATGTAACTCAAAACAAGTCGTGCTTAAGCTCAACGAGTCGAGTTTTCAGTGCATGTGCGAAGGCGAGACGGATACTGTACACCGTGTATTATGCAGTACTAAATTTGACTGAAAACAGTCTTAAAATTTGAACTCACTTTCCAAAAGACTGAGTCCTTCATGAAACCACTCTTAAAGAGTGAAATTTCCACTCTGCGAAGGGGCTTTATGAAGGATACAGGAGAAAAGAGATATAATTAATATGACTCCTCTTTTGGAGTGATTTTCACGGCGTTTAAATTGTCTTTACTCTTTTTAGACTGGTGTTCACTCTTTAAGACTAATAAGAGTGGTTTTTATAAAGGACTCATGCAGTCTTTTGGGGAATGAGTTTGTCACTCTTTTGCCTTCAGAGAGACTTGGTTTAAATTAGACAGCAAAATATTAGCTCAATCTGACTAGTAAACACGGGTGATATTTGAATGATATCACCAAGGACAAGGATCACCTAATGAAATGAATTGTAAATTACTTTGCACTCATTATGACGTAAAAGGCAGCATAAAAGAAATGTCCTGTATGCACGTAATTAAAACAACTTGCCCCCCACCCTCAGTGACACAATGGTGCTAAATAAAAAGTTATACAAGTTACTCAAAAGATTGGCTATATTCAGTTTACATTTACGAATGCCTTGCGTCATCGATGGCTTTTCACTGAAAGTGTTTACATTGGGGAAATATTTCGGCTGCGTTTCAGGAAATGATCAGAAATCATGTTTCCCTCGGTGAGACGTGCACGGTGCAGTGGCTTAACGGCGGGTCTCGGCGTTAGAGTGGCGGTCTCACCACGGCGGTGTGTCTGCTGCAGACGCATCAGCCGTAGGGTAACAGCACCCACGCGAACCACACCGACATGAGNCCCGCCTCGATGATGAGACATCCCAAGATGCCCCAACCCCCCCCCCCCCCGCAATCTACAAAGCCGCAAAGACCGCCCGAAATCATTTATCATCCTTCTCCCAGCGATCGGTGACGGGTCGAAAAACAAGCGTCGCTGGGCCCGGCGTTGCATGACTGACACGGTGGCCGATCGCGGCAGTGGAAAAAAAACCAAGATGCATGCACCATGAAACTCCACTTTTTTCTTTTGTTCCACTGAATGTAGAATTTAGTTCTGAAGAATCTAAAGAATCTCCTTTGTCTGTTCATCCAAGAAATGAAGATATCGCGAAGACCAAAAAGGCTCATGTCTCTTATAGTGCGCAGTTGAATTCTCAATTCTGAAGTTGATTAATTCATCGAAATGCACAATAGGTAACCTGCACCAAGCCATGTTTGAAAGAGTCCAATTTTATTACCAAATATGGTCTTCCACATAGATGCCAGCAGAAGTCTTCGGACCCACTGTAAAATATTCAGAAACTCAAGAAATAATCAAGTTATTTAATTAGTGCAATGCTGTTAATAGTACAAGGAGCCTGTTAAAACATTAGTCCATCTGGCAGCCCGTTGTTCCACAGGCCAAAAAAAGAAAGAAATCGTATCTGTTCGTCCATCGAGTGTCCACTCGACCACGAATGCTGCCGTCATCTAAGGAAGAAATGAGTGGAGAGGTTTTTTTACAGTGACTTCACAAATTAAATAACATGTCATTCTTTTATTAAAGAAAAACTGCAGTTAATAAATCTGAAAGTCTGCCCCCTGAATTCTGGACAAAGTTAAAAGGTTATGAATTTGGCTCCAAATGGTTGAGGCATAATTTTTCGATCAACCTCTGTATGAGAGTCGCGGCCATTTTCTTGGGTGTGTTATCAATCAGTTAATTGAGCAAAATGTACCGGTACTTTTTCGCGTTAAAACACTTACGCATACTCGATAAAAGGTACATCAATTTCGTTCCAGCATGGCGTAGATGAATTTGGTCATTCAAGAACACCCCAACCAGGTACACGAGATTCAATTCCTGCCAAACTGACCTAGAATGGATATCGTACATGTAGTTGCGACTTCCACTGACAGGAAATGAAACTAAGTGGTTTACATTTGAAATCACTTCCGCCTTCAAAGCCAACAATAATTGGGGTGATATTGTTTGTGTTTCTTTCCATCTGATAATTATGTACATACATGTTACAAATAGGCAAGGAATACCTGTGTATGTATTACGTAAGCTGTGGTTTGTTAATAAAAGCATAGGTTTGACTTCTTAATACATCCTGGTCTGTAACCAGGTCAAAGGTCCTTTTAAATATATATTCAAACCACGGCACTAGCTGTGTCTAAATTTGTCACAAAAATTCAATTTGTTAAGAGCGAGCAAACAATAATAGCTTTCGAAATTTGAAATGTTGTAATGTTTCTGGCAGGGAGCCAAGATGAGTGCGCTACTCCATCCAATGTCACCTCACCCAGTGATGTGGACGTGATCCAACCGATAAAATCTAACTCTCCGTCCGGTCTTTTACCCTTGTAACGCTACCAATAATACCATTCTGCGCATAACAACCCATCGGAATTGATCTTCGTTTTGTTTCTTTCGGCACGTGTTGTCTGATGCAGTGACTTCGGAAATCAAAACGAAGGACATGCACCACCTGTTTTGACCGTGTTTTTTTCGGCTTCGTTCAAAGCAAAAATTGTCATTTTTGTTCATCGATAAACGTTAAGTCCACCAACGTCAGTTGCTAACTCCAGAATATTTTGTCAGCACTATCTGCCACTGTTGTGTTAATGTTATCGTCACCACAACCATGACCCCGTAACCGTTGTCACCACTATGAATTAATGTCATCATCATATGCATGCTCATCGTTATTATCCCCACTAATGGCAACACTGTCATCAAATATCATTATCGTCATCACCGATCACCACTACACTACCGTGACCAAATCACTACATCACCACCAGACAACCCTCATTACAATCACCCCCAATCACCACGTCAACATCGCAATCTTTTCCATTCATCACAGCTTTGTATCTTCAGTTTCCTTGTAATGGATTCACAGAAAAGAAAAAAACATGCAAGCTTTTTTGTCCAGACGGATACCTTCCTGTAATTCACTTTAAGGAGCAGAATGTTGAATATCGTACATAGTGCAAAAATTCAAGGTCCAAAATTGGCCTAAGATAGAGCCCCCTCGTGGCGGAAAGCGTCTGACCCGCTATTAACCTTGAATGGCCCCCGACGGGTGGGGTTAAGACTTTCTCACCTTTTCAATACCTCATCACAACCCATTATTTTCCGTCAGTAAAAGTCGAAAACAATTCTTTTTTTTCTTCTCCTCTTTTTGAGTTTTCCCTCTCACCCCTGTCTTGTTTTCTCCCCTTTCTCTCTGCCATATTTCGCGCAGGCCGTCCAATTAGCGTCAGTGACACATTAAACGTGAGCTGTCGGCTTGTGTGGGCCACGAGGCTAGCCGGTCCCATGCGGTGTTTTGATTAGGCGCTGGGTATACGAGGTGACAACAACATGGCGAGGCAGGTAGGTCGGCCGAGCCTATGGCAGACTCAAGAGAAGAGGAGAGAGAGTGCAGGCTCGTCTACCAGGGACAACACGCCAGTCACTGGAGAATGACATTGAAATCGAGAAAAGACATCGATACGGAGTCATCAAGAGGACAAATCCGCGGCGCTTTCTGTCGTGTGAGACGACACGCCGATCTCGATTTCATCGATCGTCTACGACTTCAGCGTCCCTAACAGTTGGGCCACATCCCTCTCTAGCTTTTTGTTGCACGAGGATGAGAGAATGAGTTTTAGCTTTCGTTTTGGGCGGCATGGTAATGAAACGCACCATCGGCCAAGTGTGAGGGCAAACTTTGCTTGTGTCGCGCATGGGGAGGAGGTGGGGGAGGGGGTCGTTCGAGATGTTGGCCCGGCTTGTCATTGCCGACGAACTTGACTGAAACCCGGGGCCATGTGAGACCTCACTCCGCCGTGTCAATCATCTCCTTTGCCCCCGCGGGGGGACAATCTCCCTTGCTGCCTTCTCTCTCCCCTCTTGCGGCAGGGGAGGGGCTGGCGGCTGACGGCTGTCCGCAGGTTGTCAGCGTGGTTTCTCCCCTCATCGTCTCAGCGTCCTGCTAACAACCCCCCCGTCGCCGGCCTCCAGTGGAAAGCCGACGCCGTGAAAATAGCCCTGCCGTGGATGTGCCAATCACCTCCGCCACCTTTAAGTGCCCTTGTTTTGTTCTTCATTCATCTGTCCTTCCGGATACTGTTTCTAATCCCTTGGACCCTGTTGCCAAGAAATTGTTATTGTTCCGCGGCTTTCCCGTCACTTGACAGCCTTCCATGCAAGCAATGATAGCGTCTTGATTGCTCGGGGAGCAATATTTTTTGCGCAAACTAACAAAGAATGGTATAAAAGACGATAGAGTTGCCGAATCTGAGACGGCCAGAATACGCCAGCGGCAGCCAGTGGGGAGCGGCATGGCCAGACAAGAAGGTTGACCGGGCCCTTCGTTCGATTCGATGCCTGATCATGCCTCCGTGAAAGGACCTGTCAAAAAAATCAACTTAATGGGGCCCTTCGTGGGCTTTCAGCGTCAAAACTCAAACAGTAATTGCATTTTGCTTGCAAAACAACAGAACTTTGAAAAACAACACAAATCAGAGCAAGATCGTATGAATGTTCAGTTCTCTGTTTAATAGTCCACGCCCGTCCCCCTTTTAAAGTTGCAGAAGGCTTGTATTATCTGCGACAAATTCGACTCGAGTTCTTGTTGGAATAATGATCCAAGACACGTGTTTTTCCAAACAGTTATCCCAAACAGCCAGACATATATACCGCAATCATTAGGCTAAACCATTCTGGGATTAAAATAGGATTGGCCAGTGAGATGCTTCCCTAAATGCATAGGAAATTAATATTACACCTCATAAAGGCTAAATCCTGGTTACTTGTCATAATTATTTGTAATAAGTCAGAAACAAGCCTTTACATTACAGAATACTCTTTTCATAATGAAGTTGGTTTCATTTTGATTATATCAGGATTAAAAATTATTTTTGTATAAATACACAAAGTTCATATTCATTGTCTTGTGAAATTCTTGAGCGTTATTTTAATCTTAAAACATCATTTTGTCTGATAAGTCTTCTGAGAACGTTTCTCCAAGGAGATAATAGCTGCGACACTCAATGTGACATGAAAAAAAAAGAATTTCCCCAGTGGTATTTTATTTCATATATATTTGATCCATTCCAAAATTCCAATACAGTGAGTTTTTAAACCATGTGCGTTGTTAGGAGCACAGTTTACCAAAAGGTCGTTTTGTTAATTATTCTTCGCGAAAAGTAAAAGTGAATGTTATTGGGCCAATATGGCTCAATGCTTACAAACTTTCCTTTTTATGTAGATACACAATGATCACGCCAAGTTTCACAACACTGGCTGCCAACGTCCACTGGAGGGCGCTGCACTGTCGCAAATGTCGTGGGTCACCTTTGTTAGAAGCTTTGTAAGAAAGATGAAGCTGGCCCAGCGTGCCAAGTAGGTGACATCGTGACAGAAATCCGCAACGTCGTAAAATAAAATTTGATTTGCGGTGACTAGAAAAAGATTTATAACCTCAGTGTCCCTTCAGGGCAATCTTGGACGTGCGTTGTCTAAATTTCTGTTTGTCTATGAAGGGCATGCTGGTTCTCGCCGCAAACTCACAAGGGTTGATTGGAGGCTTCTGAGGTACTTTTTCAGATTGTATTCGAAGGGCTTTTTTGACTGCCGCTCAAATTTAACCCTCAATCCCAGCACGTCCATTGGGAAAATGCACTTTTTCAAATGGCAGCAGAAGAGCACCTCTTCATGATGATGATGTTGTCGTCAACAGCCAGAAACCAAAGGAAGAGGGAATCGAGGAGAGAGCCCTGACACGGCATGACCCGAGCTTGACCCGCCGACCTCTGGCCCCCGGGCGTCAGTCGAGATGACGGATTGGGGCCCAGCACCGCCGCGGACCGTGTACACGCACACACACCCGTGGTACCGCCTCATTGGCCGGTGCGCTCTCCCGTCTCTCCCGCTCCCGTGAGCCGTGGACAAACACGCCATCAAGCCGTGTCGATCAACGCCCCGTCAGTCCTGCTTCTCACTCAATTAGGAATGCCTTGGAGCTGACTCGAGCTGCTCCTCTGGTTTCTGCTGTTTTCTTTTCTCAAATTCAGATGTTCGGGAGCCCCTTGTGCCGAGATCTCGTGGCTGTGGAAGCTCATAGTTCATCTGAATATAAAGGTTGACAAGGTCGCTATGATGATAAAATCCGAGAAAATGATTTTTTTTTCTTATTTGGAAGCTTTTAATTCAAAGAAACATGCACTATTCTTTTCAGATGTATTTCCGACATGAAGTGATTTCACCCTTTGTTCCAAGAACTCACGAGTTTCACTGGAAATATCTCTTGACCAAGGGAAACGCTAGGCCTACTTGGTTTTGAAATTTGACCTCACGGAAGGGAACCTAGGTTTAAAATTTAAAAATTGGGCTCGCTACTTTTTTTTGACACAGTCCCACGAAGTTCATTTTCCCAATGCGATGTACGTGGCAAAGATCCAAGTGATGTGTTCTATACCCCAGTTCCAGTACAGTGTGAACATTCGAATCGGGAAAGGGATAAATGTTACATTGATAAGTAATTAAACGATATTCACGGTCAAGGAGGGGCGTTTTCTGTGAACCTTCACACCACGTATTCCTCCGCGAGGACTCATTTGTCTTGGTTGGCGTAAATTCTATATTAAGAAGATAGAGACTGTGTATCACATTTTGTGAATTTTTTTAATCTTGCGAATTTTAATGGCTCCAACTGGAAAGGGATGACGAGCTCATGATGAAACCATTTTCTTGTAAAAAGTGAGGAAGGAGAACATTAGAATTCACTCCATGGTTAAAGTTACATTGCCTGTGGTCTTTGGGATTTTGTCACTGTGGTAATATTCTACTGCCATTTTTTAAAACACATTTAAGTATCTCTTATTGGGTAGCAACGCCCACCCTTCTTGAGTATGTAGTGTAGAGTACAATGACATCCCATCTGCAAAAGCAGATCCAGGTAAAAAAGAAAACAGAGCGTGACACGGACAAATATCGAGATCATTTTGCATTCCGCTTCCCTCTTTCGTCACCAACTTCCCAGGCATCTGTACTCCTGTTATTTCGCCAAGTCTTATGTACATGTACATCCATTCAGCCACGCCCGGAGATGACGCAACGGAGGCAGCCATTTTAGATACTTGAATGCCCCAAACCAGCCTCTCTCTTGATAGGCGGATGACGTGTGACTCACGGCAACATTATTTTCATTCTCATCGGCGGTGCTATCTCGCTCCAATGCATTCTGTCACTGCGTGCGTCAAATTTCAATCCAGTGTGTTGCGAAGGACTTATAATTCTCGTTATAAATCCACTCCGAAAATCTGTGAATAAAATGAGGGACATGATTAGTTGAACCTCAAATCGACTGCGGAATTCTTAATTCACTTTCAGGTCTTTTTGTCATGGCGGAAAAACACCGAATTTGAGTAGCTGCTTTGATTTGATCAGCTGTCGTTTTGCTTTTACTACGTATTATAGAATCACACTCATGATAAAAAGTGACCGCTCTACATAGTCCATGGGGTGCCAAGAAGTGACATAGCACTCTATTGCAGCCAAGTACAAAAAGAAGCATGCTTTGCATAAAATCACAAAAGACAACCCACACCACGATTCACTAAATTAAAGCTGATAAAGAGAAGCTAGAAGAAGGTACCTTAAAACAATTGAACACCCCCCCCCCAATATTCAACTAATTATCATCCACAAAAGCATCACACTCGTGCCTCACAGGGGGAATCAACGTGATATCATTCAAAACACAATGATACTGATATATAATTGTAAGGTGACGGCAAAAGTAACCTCAACCCAGTTTTGCTTTCAAACTTTATGAAACTTTTGAGGTCTTTAAGGCCAAAAACCGTCTCCTTGTTCTGGTTAGGAGCTGGCTCCAAAAGGGGTGCAGCGACACGGCTTTGTTTTTTACAGTCCCTCTTTTTTTCCTGTTGATGTAGGTATAACGCGCGAAGGATGCAGTGCCCTAATTCAAGGAAAATTCTCCGCCAGGCGGAGGCGCACAAAAAGTACCCCCACAGATTCTTTCGAAAAGAAGGGTCTGTTTGGGCCAAGAAATGGTGGGATTGTGCCAGTATGGCCCGGGGTCATCTCTGTAGATTCAGGGGCACCCATCTGGGGGAAAAGCAGACAAAAATGTGATTGAAAATTTGTCAGAAGAGCCCGAGGAAGGTGAGGGATGTCATTCAAAAAATGGCCGCTGAGAAGACTTGGGAACATTGACTATTTTGGGGGGGGTGTTTGTTTTTGGCGGATAATTAAAAAATTCATTGGTTAACCTACTAAAAATTGAAAATCAAATGAAATCTGAAGTACCAAGCAACACATTGTTTTTGTTTGAAAGGCTTCAGGGATTTCAATTGCCTGCCACGGGGCTCCAAACTTGGTTGATTTTACACTATTTTCAATGGAGCTTGAATTGGTTCAGTGCACCCCGAAGTCCATCGCGACTGCATGCGCACGTAACTCTGGCCGCCACTAACACTGAAATAGACTGGCCCCCGCACTTTCACTGATTAAAAGCATTTTTAGCTTGTACATGTACACAGGACATAAGACCACCTCCTTTGTCTGGTTCCCAGATGTAAATGTATAATACAGAAATGACGTCATCTGAAAAAGAGCGCCCGACTAAATGTATGGCGAACTACAGGGACTCCTTTACTGTACATATTACTCAACTGTACCCCATCAAAAACACGTTAACATTACACAGTAGCAGGATTCCAGTCAATTGAGCAAGTTTGGCAGCTTTTGGACGTCGTTTTATACCAAATAAAAAAACGTTTTTATTTTGCCGGCGACTCGCGCGCTGACCAGAGACCGGAGACTTTTTTGGCCTAACAAGCTTGTAACAGCTTGATTTGTGGCTGAGCATTCGAGCAACGCGTTGTCATTTCGATTTTATGACTTCACCGTCTGTACTTGCGAGTAACGAAAGGCAAGTAATGCTGATGTAACCGGTGATAAACCGAGTGGGGTTAGCCACAGCGCTCTGACCGTAGGCAACTAGATATGCAAGAGCCCTCAAACTTTTATTTGGGAATCTGCAGATGAAAAGCCTACTTTTAAAAGTTTGAGTTGCCGCCAAACTACGCGCCCTCTATGTGCGAAATGCTCCAACACGTGACCGTCACCTGCTACCCAGGGACAGGGTCACACAACTGGGCCGCTATAATATGATTATTGCGTGTTGTGTAAGACAGTTAGTCTCTATTATCGTTGGGCAGGCTCGGTTGCATTTCATAAACTCCCAAACACCCCCTTTCCCCCGTCTGTTCCACAACTCCCCCCCCCCCTCTGCGCCAGCCACGGCACAATGGAAGAATAAATATACAAGAAAGCAACGCAGTCCAGCGATCCGACAGGCGAAAAATGCTAAACGCGGACAGCGCGGAAGGTAATGACGGCTTGCGTGTAAGCGGAGTCTCCGGCCGACGTGGGTGGGATCAGCACTTGACACTATGAGCCTGGTGGTGGAGCTTTTTCCCCGTCTTGTTAAAGCTGCATCTCGTCATTTTATTGGGTTGCCTGTGGGCCTACATGGATAGTTTAAAGCTACATCGGGGATTGGCTTACCAACCTTAAAACCTCTTCACTGCCACTCCACAGCTAAAGAAAGAAATAAACGTGCCTTTCATTGTGTTTTCGGTTTCCTTTTAAATGCGCTTACAAATTATGATCTCTACCCTTTTCTGTGTCTGAAAGAATTGCTCGACTCCTGCCTAGAAAAGATACAACTGCGAGGGCGTCTTACAATAGGGGTACAGACCAGTAAATAAGCTGCCATAGACAACAGTGATAAATATCCCCACTTCAAAAAGTCAGGAAAAATACTCACAAGTTTCACAGGTGTTCAAGACACATATCAAAATAAAGCTCACTTCCTCATCTTTCATTTTCCTCTCAAGTTTCAGTGGCTTGACCGATGACTTTTGAAGATATTTCTCTACCACTACCAGAGAAAACCACCCCTCAAGACAGTTATGAGACCCATCGCCATTTTGAAAACTAATGCCTACACTCCAGTGAAAAACAGAGCAATTTAGAGGGCCCCGTTCGGTCCGATACTTTCAGAAATACAAGCTGACAGTCCTGCCCCTGGATTTCATCCACCTTTTTAACAAACCACGCAATGCAAGTGCCACGAAACGCTCTAATAGCAGAGAATTTGACAGCTACAAATCGCGATTCGGCTCGCGCAGGTAACTTTGGACCTACAGTATTTACTGGCCTGCTACCTTAGAACTGAAGCTCGACTTGCATCAAGATGCGCATGACCATGAGCCGGGGCGATAATGTCCACCAATTTACTCCTCGAGAAAATCGTTATTGAGTGATGCCTGCTCCTGAGAAGGTATCTTAGTACACAAGTATCGACATAATCAACCAACCCAATCACGTTTGCAGAATAACAGACAATGAATCGATTGCGGATAAGCTTACGTACCACAGAGTACTGTCTACATGTACATGCCTTTTTGACACAGCATCATTTTGTGTACCTGCGCACCAACTTGCCCTCACACAGGTAAAACAAGTTCAGACCAAAAACTGCGGTGTGGTCAGTTCAGACAGCGGCCTGCTGATTTTGCCACTGCCCCAGGCCCATAAGTGGCCCCTGGATAGCTTTTTTTATGGCCACTATGCATGTACGCCTCCCTCTGCAAACTATGCATGGCTAAGACGGCTCCTCTGGAAGGGGCGCCACCCAGGGGCGTGACCTCAGTTTAACCATCTAAAATTATCTACTTTTATATCACCTTTCGGCAGCACGGGGGGTGATTATTCGCTCATAACACCCTAACAATCTGCTATATCTTAACCCAATTCATCAAGTGACCGTGACATCATAGTCATCAGTGCTATACCCTGTACATGTACTTTCTTTTGTCAGAGCTGTTTCCTCGGTCCTCAAGCATTAATAAACAAGAGCTGAGACGAATTGTCGCCTGAGTGGTTTCTTTCTAGATTTCTCGGTATGATTCGCTCATTTTAACGTTTTAATTCTAAAAAAATTAAATTTTAATTCTAAAATAGACATCGGAACCTGTATTTTGTAGGTCTCAAAAATGCTCCTCTTCGATCAATAAATCAAAAATAACGTGGACCCTACTGAAAGTGATCTTGCAACTGAAAATTCGAGGCAAGAGTCCGTAGCAATGTCTTGCCCAGTATAACTCATTCATGCGGTTGCTGTTTTCAGAGCTACTTGGGGTGAGCCACAGCATAATATAACACTCAGGACATGAACTTAGCTTCGACCCCTGGCCTTCCGCTCTCTAGCGCTGTACTATGCAAGATGTGGACTGTCACTGTCACAATGTCGACTGGGTTCTACGTAAGACCAATTGCGCCCAGAGTTCGCCTAATAACTTGCCTCAGACCGAAGATTGCAAAGCAAGTAATACTGAAATCCACTTCATCTGACAACAAAACGCATACAAAATTTTGCGAGAATTTAGCACCCCAGTCTTCACAAGTCGCTCAGTGGGACGATGTTTATATTCTAAATATGTTTGCTAAACAATAAATCTGTTGGGGTGTATGGCAGGGATATGTCCAAAATAAGAAACATTTGTGCAGGCAAATAAGGGTCGGCTGTACCTAGAAATCGTCTTATATTACCAATACGCTCACATCATAATATATCGACTACGCTTGGTATTGTTACTCTGCACTTGATGGTGTTGTTCAACTCCCCAAATGAGAAAAGAATAGCAAAAAAGGGGTGCTTGGCTTATTAGCGATGAAAAGAAAACGGGTTCATCGCTTATAAATGGTGTGAAGTCAGCCAAATGTGAACAATTGATAATTCGCTGGCGCACTTCCGCCAAAGGCAATAGTTATTGTGGGGACATCGTGTACTTGTACCACCATGACAAGCCAGAACTGCCAACCACGTCCGCTGAGCGCCGCTGTATATGCGCACGTACGCTGGCCATCGTGTGTTTGTAACTTACACTTTTATGGGCCATCACTGGTACTTTTATTGTTCTAATTCTGTTGGCGGATGGCTAAGCATAATGATGGCGGGAAGTGGTCCGTTTCTGTATTACTTCCCGTGCGCATCGTCTCCTGCTGCAGAAATGGCGCCGAGAGCTGTGCCAACGAGCTCCCTTATCGTCTGCAAACTCCAGTTGACCCGCTCACAGCTCGCCAAAGCGGCAGACGACTCCTGATAACCAGAGACATATTTCCTCCAATTTTCGGAAAGTTATTTTCATGGTCTCCTATTTTTTTACTGAAATTGCATGAGGATATAACAGCCATCCATCATTTCAGGGATGTTGCACGTTTCCTCTTGTATTTTTCCGACTAAGACTTATCTTTTCCTTTTTAAAACGTTCATAGGCAGGCCTATTCTTGACCATTCATAACGGACACAACGCCCTTGAAATGACCTATCTACAAAATTGCAAATATTAAACTTGGACAATTCGATCCAAGTTTTGATGAGTTTCAGTTAAAAAGAATGAAAGTATTACAGAATTCCTACCGTTTCACTTTTTTAGGTAATGCATGCATTATGTGAATTTTTACAGTTTTCGTATGAAATGTATCAATAACTGAACTGGTGTCACAAAAATTAAAGAGTCCTCATTCCAACATTTCCACGTCAAGACCAATCCAGGATCAAATTGTAACATAAAATGACATTGAAACAAGCTTGCAATATTGCTCATTTGACGGTCCAAACACATTTCCCGCGAGTTATACTGCTTCATCATACTTGAGCCAACTACAGAGGGAGGAAACAATCATTTGCATTTTACCAAATGATGTAAGAAATAATAACCCAGATAATCTACAGAGTTCACGATCCTGCTCTTTAAAGAAAGGACTACACGCTTGACAGGACCACAGGCTACATGACACGGACAAGGCACCCGCGCGTAATTGCCGAACGGCTGAACATTTTCCTTCTTTGTTTTACGGCCGGCCCAACTGGACCACCGGAGTTGATCGCTGGACCGATCGGCAAGGTTGTGTATCCCGTGTGGTCCTCGCCGGCGTTTCCATTCCGTGCATTCATGCGAGCCATGATGAGTACTGATAGAGTAACGATCAGCCTCCTGTACGCGTGTTCCGTGGATGGCTGCTCCGATGTTATGGCTGCTTGTCCGATCCAGACCCTTAGCCCGTGCAAATGATGGACCGCCAACTCTGGTTGTCGCTGCGGTACTGCAGCGCCTGTAAAGCAGTCCCCGAACTCCTGAATTCGGCAGGAGACACTCGCAAATCAAAGATTCACGTGAGTTTTAAAAATAAAACCTGCCGAATGGAAAGCCATCTTCAAGACAATTCTCTCGTTACATTCCAACAATATTAAACACTGAATGATTTCAGGGACTGAAGTGTTTCTGATGCCAATATTAATTAAGAACCTTGCTTCAATGTCATATCCAGGTAGGCCTACTTGGGTCGAAGGGGGGAAAACATCATTTTCTATTCCAAAAATGACTGTCCATATTTTTTATTTGAAAAAGAATCCTCACTCCCTACCCAAGGAAAGGGGGGTTTACCGTTTCTACAATAATGGCAACTTCGATTCCTTAAAAAACTTAAAAGAATAAAATAAAATCAATAAGAATGTCTCCTGGGAAACTTGCCCACTAATGGATACGCCACAGTGCTTCACATGCAAGCAGGAAATGCTTGTTCAGCTCAGGGAAATCAGTGTGGATCGATCAAAATGAGATTCAGTGTACCTTACCAGTTACCACAAACTGAAAGAGGAACCACGAGTCACGTCGAACTAACCTATAGGAACGGCTATATCAAATAAGCCCCTTTTTGTTGTCAAAGGGAAAATAAAGTGTGTCGAAACCCTGAAAAGTTTCTGACTTTTTTTCTGGAAAATTCCCATGCTCAAACTTTCATTTCTATCCGATGTCAAAGTCGCCTATCACAATGGACTCAATCCGTTTCGGATTGTTGTAATCGGTAAAATGATTTAATGATTTGGAAAAAAACATTTGCTTTAATTGAGAAAGCTAATAAAATCATCAAAGTAAATGCATCCTAATTTAGAATTCTGATTATAATCTTCCCACGAACCAGCAGTCTTTAGAAAGAGGTATCGATTGCTTGTTTTACATGGAAGTCACCAGTAAATTGGTCTTGTCTTCTGTCTATGGAAGTTTATCGTTGATTCTTGAGACCGATGATAACTTAATAGCACATGAGGTTAAATTTAAAATGCTAGGCTTGAAGCGTAGAGCGAGATGACACATTTGTGTAATATTGGGCCAAGACTAATGCAATATGAAATGCTGTTCAGTGACAAAAGTGTTGTTTCCGGACAGGCTGCAATCTCGGGAACATTTGTAGGGCAACTGTAATTTCCGCTCTGAGTGAAGCCATGTTATGCAATGCGTATGAAATACAATACTTGCCACTAGAATGACATTCGTTTCCAAGTGCGTCTCTTTGCAACGTGCAACTTCCGGCTTAGTTCTGTCCTGTTATCCTGTTAGGGTATCTATTGCGCTGTTGACGCACGTTGGAACCCAAAATGTCGCTCTCAAAATATCCATGAAAATCACATCAAAGATGAAAAGAAAAGACGACCGGATACAGCTTGCTTCGTTCGCTCCATCGTCAGTGTTTCCGCTGATCGGGATCCCAAACGCAGAAGTTCTCCATGTCGCCGCGAAAATTGTTTTATTGCCTTGTGCTATCTGTTATATTGAATCCGCCGGGAAAAAAATGGCTTTTCATTGCCTACAACTGGCACTGGGTTCGAATCACTTTATGTTAGAATTAGTTATCATTGGTCCGACATCAGACCTGAATGTTACTTCAACAGAAAAGGTTATTTGATAAGTGTGCGGTTGGTTTAGGATGTTCCTCAGAAGAACAAGTTACAAACACTTCACCATTTTCATGAATCCTGGCACTTCTAGGACCTCTTCAAGAAATGTGTAAGAGATTGAGAATAAAAATTCAAGAAAAAAACAAGAATCGAATACGTTTTTAGACTGTTTACATTCTCGGAAAAAACCTTCTTTGCATTTTCTGTGAAAGAAAGATCAGCAGAAACGGTCCAGGTGCAGATCTGAATTCTAAAAACCAAACCCTTACCGTTCTGGCCTTCACGTTTCGCTCAGAAGAGAATCCATGAAATCAACTCAATGAACATAGACCAGTTCCAACTAAAAGTCACAAATATCATGCGTAGCCTGACCGAGCAACAGAAATGCCTCGATGAAACAAAAGAGGGCGACAAACAGATCCTAAGACTCTACACAACAATGAAGGGCATACGGGGAGTGGGTTCAAGAAAAGAGGTGTACTTATCATGCGACCAAATTGAACTTCTTTTAAAAATCTTTAAATGGGGACTAGTTCTTAAATGGAGAGCCTCTGTCGTGTTATTCAGTACGAGCCTGCGAGAGGTTGTTTTTATCAACGCCTAATGTCGAGGCCGTCAATTTTTTCCATACGTAAATTTCAAGCTCCTAAAAAAAGTTCCGACCATACGCCATCAAATCGATGACCTAGACCCAATGACCTTTATTCGTTTGGAAAAAAGTGATCCAATAAATGTTGACCTAGCACGGACGTACGGGAAAGTGTGTCTGACGCCCACGTTAGATGTGGAAACCATTTAACAGCTTTCTGTAGAGGTGTGTGGCTTTAATAAATGACACCTCTTTTTCTTTCTGTTTTACATCCTTTTTCCAGTCGTTACATCCTACATACGCCACATGGCACATACAAATCAATAAATAATCAGTACAGAGAACTGGTTTTTCGGTATTGATAAGTGCACAAATCCATTTGGTGATTTACGGTATATTTTTTTCCTTCATGAATAATGCTAAGGGGATTTGTGTTGCGACTGCATAGCGGATCTAGACTCATGCTAACTGGCTGGTGGACAATTTATAAGCTGACCATTAAGAGTTTAATCGGTTGTTTTACCTGCATTTTTTCCTACTGAGCTTCGCCGGCCCCACGCGTTTTACCAGCAAGGCCGAGACCCAAGCAGTATAAAAAAGCTGACCCTCCGCGCATGCGCGTTCACACTTGTGGCTCGTTCAAGACTTCATTCCGTAATTGAGCGTACAGTTGCCGAAGCCTGGCTCTGTATTTTTCGACGTGGGGGGCGGGAGCGCCGTGGTTCGGTCCGAGTCGTTCAAGGTCTGTGCCGGTGATGGGCGATGTGACACACGCACTCTCCAATGACTTCAGCTGGGGGATTTCTTCTGTTGGCTTATCTGCGTGAACTCAAAACGGCGCCTCCATCAAACCTGGGCGCTAGTCGTATACTCGGCCGGGTTTGGCAGAACTACTGTAGGCCTATTCCCAAAGCAGGTATTTTGACAGGTCTTTCTAGGGTGACCTTTCCGGCATATTCTGTGGCGACGCCGTCACCATTGAGTGTGTTATTTTTCTGAGGAGGCAGGCCGGCTTGTCTCAGTTGACACTTTACCACAGAAACCCGATAGTCGGGGCAGTTCCTCGATAATTGCGTCCGTTTCTGGTCCATTGTTTGAAGTGTGCACTTTCCCTCCAGAATTTAAAGGGGTTACCCTGTGCAAAAGTTGCCCACTCGGATTTTGCGTGGGTATCGGACTGTCCCGTTCGTTTGTTGAACATCATCGTGGAATTCCAGCACGTGGTGGTGCGTAAACATCCCGAAGGGAGCCGTGTTCAAGGGGTGGTGTTTTCACGCAGAGAATTGACGAATCCGATTTCTCCATGACCCATCTGAATAGCATGGCCGCGGCGATGTCTTCATCCCCGCCTATCCACAGCCAGCACTCCGGTGGGGCGCAGCACCCCCACCACGCTCAGCCGCCCCCGGCCAGCCAGCACGGCCAACCCTCCCCAGCCCCACACCAGGACCAGCCCCTGCCTACCCTCTCTGGTCCGCACGGCCGCAACGACAACCCGCTGGCGGACCAACAAACATCTCGGAGTGTTCCCGGGGACACCCAGCTCCACATGGACTCCCAGTCCCCAAACGGCCCCGCCGCTGAAACGGACAAATCCCCGGCAAAGAAGAACGGAGCGGGCATCAGGCGGCATGAGAAGCCGCCGTACTCGTACATCGCTCTGATTGTCATGGCCATCCAGAGCTCGCCCACCAAGCGACTTACTCTGAGCGAAATCTACCAGTTTCTCATGCAGAGATTTCCGTTCTTTCGCGGACCGTATCAAGGCTGGAAAAACTCGGTCCGCCACAATTTGTCTCTCAACGAGTGCTTCATCAAGCTGCCGAAAGGTCTGGGCAGGCCGGGGAAGGGGCACTACTGGACCATCGACCCGGCCAGCGAGTTCATGTTCGAGGAGGGCTCCTTCCGGCGGCGGCCCCGTGGATTCCGCCGCAAGTGCCAAGCGCTCAGACCCCCCTACGCCATGATGAATAACATGGGCATGCCAGGTATGCTGGGCGGCTCGCATCTGGAGATGTTCCCGCAGAATTCCCCCGGGCCCTACCCCAACCATGCCAACATGCAGTGCGGCATGAACAACATGAACTCCGCCGGCATGGTGGACACCAACATGAACATGGGCATGATGATGCCGCAGGTCTCCTCCCAGCTCTCGGGCAACCTGACCAGCTCCTGCTCGGTCAACTCCGCCGGCTACATGGCCAACTGTACGGCAGACTACTCGGCGGTAGTAACGACCACGTCGTCGCCCACCCCTGTCAGCATGTACATGAACACGGTGGTGGATAATCTGTCGTCTTATTCCACCTGGGGCCCTGGTCCCAACGGCCGTTACATCAAACAGCAGATGTCAGATTGTGACGGCGGCGGTTCGTCCCCCGCCCAGGGCATGCAGCAGCAACAGCAGCAGCAACAGCAACAGCAGGTCAGCACAGGGGATCACAGCCAGTACATGACACCCCATCACGGGGTACAAGAGCCCATCGAAATGCAACACGGTAAGTTTCAACTTGGACATATTAGAGCAAGAAAACACAAGTGTATGCATTACGTTTACAAAAATACTCTCGAAAAGTCGCCTCCCATAAAAATACATTTACGTTTGAGTTCATGTCATAATAATGCACCAGTGTAAACTGAAATACGATATAAGAAATAAGAGACAAAAATCCCTGCGAGCATACAACGTAAAATTGTTAAATTTGTTAACACAACAGCCGAACGAATTTGCTTTGGGCGTGAACCTTCGACGGGCCTGTTGTCCTTGGGTAGGCCTATAGTGGACACGTATCGACGAACCAAGTGCTCACCAGTGTGGAGAATTATCAGAGACAAAACACTTTCACATTCGTGAAATTTTAGCTCAGCTGAAATGTAGCAGACCGAATTCGACCGTAAAACTACTAAGCTAGCTAACCGTGGAGGCATCTGTTTACACCGTGGAGGTAGAAAAACACTGACTGCTGATTAAGAAACCCACCACGCTGTGACCTTGAGAGAGGCTGATCGAGCCAACTGCGCGCAGTCCAACTAAATCAAGGTAACATAGTCTTTGGAGCAAGTCAGCTGGGGGAAAAATCATGTCTTGTAGTGAATTCCGGGGTAATTCCTGCATATGGAAGAATTTGGAGAAACAAAGAAAAACTGTCATGACTGTTTTATGTTTATTTGTGAGAAATAACAGATATTTCTTCCAAACCGGATCGCGCTGTCTTGCATAATTATTCTACGCACCCAAATGAACACACACAAAAAGAACCAGTGCAGGCTCAAGAACCCTTGTTGATGACATAAATATGGTATTGTAATTCATGATCGTCAGTAATCTGTTTAATATTGGAACTGGTTGTTGTTAGATCACACTATTTTAATGACAGTCGACTTTTCACTCGAAAACGCGCGATAATATAATGGAAGCGCCGTGCCGCCATTCGACAGTTATGAATTCCAACCCGCGTGCAGTTGCATTTTTTTCCTGTCACGCGTTCTGTCTGTGGCATATATACGCGAAGTGTCGGAATGACCTGCATTCCGGAAAATGACCGTTCCGTGTCGTGAGAAGTCTAAAACTATAATAAGTGACCGCTGTTGAGTCAAACTCAACGCAGATTGGAACTGTGGATCTCGCCTTGGCGAAGTTTCTACGCCGGGAGCACTGCTATCTTTTCATCTTTGCGATGATCGCGATCAGTTACTGGAGATCAAGATCGCAGAAGCTGTAGAAGGAGAGGCGATACCTTCTCCACTCATTTATGGCTGTGGAACGTGTTTCTTTCCAGTTTCCTAAGGAAACCTGGAGTGGCTGAAACCTTAGCTCTGTGGTCATGAAAAGAAAGTACGTGTGATTCTTGCCGGCAATTCGCTCGTAAGTGCCTGGACGTAGCTGGCCGTACAAAGTGTAATATGAACCGTTATTAATGTGGATTAGCACTGATGGCGAGATTAGGACATCTCAAGTTCAAAAAACCACAACATGCATTGATTATATTGTGGACCATTATTGAGTTAACTTATTTACTTCACTACGTAAGCGACTTTCAATGAGAGTGATTCTCTGCCAACTTATTTCTGGCATACCTCCCAAACTAATCAAACCACTAACAATCGATAATCATTCTTAATTCTTGTTCCTATATAAATTACCGGGGGATGATGAACAAGCATTTTTCCTTTTCTGAGGGAACTGAGTTCACGTCGACCATGCAGCATTCAATGCAAGCGTTGTCAAATTTCAAGGTCGTTCGAACACAGCGGAATCATTCTAGGCCTACATGTACATGCTAACCACAGTATCAAAGCACCACTGGTGGTTTTGCCGATACTTTTTTATCTCTCGTGTTATTTGTGCACATTTTTAACGTCTTCAGGTGTGGTTCAGTTGTCAATTAACTGGAGAAAAGGAACGAGATCTTGACCACTACTCATGCATCGTGTAAAATCCGTTTGATGGGACAATGTAGCATACGAGAAGCCAATAAGATATTGACCACGGTAACCTTCATGAGTGATGTCTGCTTTAGACAGTCGAGTTTGGGGTCGAGGGTTTTCTGCATGGCGGAATGGCGGCTGTCGTCATTTCTGTGTAGATCATAGAGGAAGGAATGGTAGAATATGACTCGATGGAACAAGTGCCGTTGGTAGCTTGGCCATTTTGTTCATGAACACTCTGATAGCCTAAAATAAACTCATGTTTAGAGTTCAAAACGTGTTTAAACTCTAAACGTCGTTGTGTTCATGCGCACTCGCGAATGTCGCTTGAAATCTGGACGTGCCAAAGAACCTTCGATTTCTGATGGGGAAAAATAAATCAATTTGCTGTAACTTTCACCCTCTAATTATCTGAAGTGGCTGTAACTCCAGAAGGTTTTGGCCGAATGCAACTTCTTGGTTCAGACCACATGGTGTTGGGACAGCTATTCAGAAAGCTCACTGGCACGAGTCCTCTCACGACAAAAACATGTCCAGATAATTCTTAATGCAACATTACAGAGCAGCATGCCTTGTTCGTTCTGCAATCAATAGTATTTCAGTACACTGATATTGAAATAAATGATTTACGAGCTAACGCGAGCAATTTTCTATGGCAGGAGTTAGCTTGTCATTAGTTCCCCTTGCCGAGAAGGTTGCACGATATTTGCTTCGTCTCTTCCTTCGTCGTCTATGTTTATTGACTCAGAAGTACGTAATGATAAAACGTCTTCATATGTTCCCTAGGTTTCGTAAATCTGATCGGCCCAAAAGTGAGGAGGACTTACCACATTCCGATCGGACATGTCACATGATATAATCCGGTGGTTACGCTTAGGTGTGACGAGAAGACAACCCGACCATGGCTCTTTCGGCTGCACAGTGTTGCATGTGTCTCGGTAAAATGTTCCTGGCCGCCGGCGCGTCGCAACTACCTGTGCCCGCTCCGGCTCAAGCGTCCGGACTATAAGGAACCCATCGTGCCTTTTGTTTTAAAAACATGGTGGATTCCCCAAATAAATAATAGGGCAAAGCCCGAGCTTAATACCCAACGCCGCCAATACGAGTCAATCATATTTTTAAACTGTTTATAATAAGCTTTTATAGTTTACGCCGCGAGAAATATTTACCGAGAAGGTCCCATCGTCTGGGGGCTGTTACCTTCGCCCCTCATGAGCGTTACACCGTGCCTCGGCCGTAGTATTAAGACCCTGTATTTACAAAAGGGAAACGCAGTGTTTAGAATCTGGAGTGTCGCTATCGAAATTTATTTACTTATAAATCCCTTGCACTCGTTGGCTGACGGTAGAAGTCATAACAAACACAAGGCATGTGCTTATGTCTTATGTGTATATTATAGACGTGCATGACTCTAAACATTGGATTTGAAAATACACATGAACGGCCATGTGCAGGGGGAAGTATACACACACTGAATGTATATAAGGTGTCTGGGTGTCTGTTCCCTGGTGTATTCGCGCGCCGAAAATTTACAAATACTTCGCGAATTATATCTGGAAATCCACAGGTTGCTGTGTAACACTGGACACCGTTTTCGTGGCCTGCCACAGCAGGGACACCGTAAGATGTGGCACTCAAGGCCCAATTTGAGTGAAAAATTTCGCGCCCGCACAAAGCTCATAAATCACCGGTATATCGCGCTCAAGAAAAAAAAAAGTCCTGCCAAAACCCATGACCGAAGTTTGCGCCATTTTTCTATTACCCAGATGTTCGACAAGACAATGATGCTCATTAAATCTTGACTCCTTCATATCTCCTTGGGGGGGAAAACGGCAATACATTTTTGATGCCGCTTGATTTGATGCAGTTCTTTTCGGAGCCGCGGGCAGAGTTGAAAATGAGACGGCCGGCAAATTAAATTGATGTAATAAAATCCACTCGACGTCCAAACCTCTTTGCTTGTTGCAAATGGAACATATTTGTGTAAAATATTCGAATCGAGAACCCCAAATATTGATCAGGGAATAAAGAATAAAAATTATTTTCATGTAACATAGAAGCCTTGAAAAGATTCTTGTCATCAAATTTTGGCCTAAATATATGCTTTGTGTTTAAACACCTCTTTTTTCTATCGTCCAAATTTGAGCTTAAAGGATGGTTCTTTTTTTCTGTTTTTTGCGGTACTCCAGTAGACATTATTTTTTAAATCAGATTGTGTGGAAATTGGGATTATTTCACGCTAAAACCAGTTTGTTTCCCGACCGCTTAAGTTGAGTAAAGTCACATAAGGGCTGTCGTCATAGGGTACGCATGATTAGCCAGCTTCTAAGCGAGTCGAAAAAGACAGGCAGGCGGTTGGTCGTACTGGAGAATAGCTGAGAGCGTCTTCACTATCGCGTGACGTGAATGTACATGTATATGTACATTCACTGGCAAAAAGGATAAGGTGAGTTGATTCTGCATGATGAAGCGAAGTACGGGTCCGGTTAAGGGTGGTTTTGAATATGTACATTCCAACCGATGACGGAAAATCCTGCTTACAAAGTATACCAAAAGTCCCCTTATCCTTTGGTTCGATGTGATGCTAATGAATGGATAAATTATTGTCAAAAAGATAAATTAAATGTTAAAAATTGACGCACTTTTTTGAGCTGGTGCATAGGGGTAGAAGCTGCATTGTCGCAGTGTATTGAGAAGACTGACATTTTCCGTTGGTTCTGCTGCAATAAAATGACACTTAAGCAGAAAATTTTTTCAGTGTCTGTTTTTTTTGTTTTTTTTTTGAAACATGAACTTTGCATCAGATGTAATAGTAAATTTGGATTCACATTATGATTCTCTAGGAACTGAGAAAAGGCCGAGGGTGCATACTGAGGTTTATTTTGTTGGTTTCATAAAAAGAAAGATTGGGCATGCAAAAAAAAAATAACAGCTCGAAAGTTATTACTTCGTGCTCGATTGTTATCGAAAAAAAGGAGCGCTTGCAGCAGGACCACTTTCTGTTCTTTACTTTCACAATTTCCTGAATTAAAAACCAAACAAGTGCTTCTAACGTGGTGTTATGGTACTGTTGGGACAAGTTCGTTTTTACTTTTCATTTTTTTCCTTTTTGGGGTGGGGTGTTTTATTTTGAATATTTGATGAAACCAGTAGACCATTTCCGCAGTACCACACTGGCTTATTTTTCTCCGTTGGCGTTGTGACATACACGTACACTGTATTATGAAAAAATAGTGCAGTGCCACGTCGGGGAGGTTTCCCGGAAGCCAAAGCAATCCCAAGAAATTTTATTTGACTTATTTTTTTTGTCGACGATCAACCCCCGTTTTCTTCACGCTGGCAGCGTCCAGCGCGTGAGTGACAACCATGCCAGCTCCATGGTATCGTGACCACTTTTAATATCGGATATGGGTCGCGAAGCCCCCATGTTTATGCACTTTTGTCAGATAGCCTTTTTGTGTCTTCAGCCTTAAAACTGTGGATGCCTTTTGAAAGACGTTCTAAAGTTTTTGGACGACCTTTTCTTTTGTGAACTCAGATCTTCGACTGCAGTCTGCCGGATCTTCAAAAGCAGTGTTGTGAAACACTGAAAACTAGAAAACCATCCAGCTATCCAAAGTATGCTGAAGGGAACTGCCAACGTATTTATCTCACTTATGAGTGAGCCAGTATGGCTGGTTGAGAAAAATACCTCAGCAGGTGTTGTCCTTTTTAGTGTGGGGCGTGGCTAGGGGATCGATGTCTCCCCCTGCAGCTTTGACTGGAGGCAAAATGAAACTAAATAGGGGAAAACTTCACACTGAAGAATACCGCTAAGTTCGAGAATGATAGTAGTTTGCAGTGTTTGTCTCATATTGGTGTTTCCACCCGATAGTTGTATACTTTTCCAGTGGTATCATTTTCGTTTCCATGTATGATTTTCCCCTTTTTTATTTTAAAGAAAATCATTGTGAAGGGAGAGAGATTGTGGTTTTAATGATGGAAATGGATATATTTGTATATTTTTAGCAGTTGGTCACTTGAGATTAAAGTAATCCTTTCTAGTTTTCCCGTCAAATATATAGTTTCAACCAAAAACGATATCAAGTTGGCACGAAAATGTGACACGTTTTAGGAAACCATACCCGACGTTGACTTTCCTTTTTTTCTGTATTTGTACTTTCTAAGAGATCGGTATTCACAGACATAATTATTAATAACCTACAAAATGAGAAAAGTTGCTAAATATCTCATCATGAGATTTTATTATTACAGCAGTGATCATTTTGATTTCAGTGAACATTTTAAAATGTGTGAAAGCACATTTAGTGGCAAAGGACTTGTTTTGTCTAATTTGTTTGAAATTTTAACTTCTCAACCTATCTTTGTAAAATGATTAAAAGGACTTCTGTTGCGACGGTTAGCCTTAAACAAGGTGTCGGAATTAAGGCCCAATTTCATAGAGCTACATCACGGCACGTGTAAACGTCGTGTTACAGCATGTTAATTTGTCAACCACTGTTGGTTTGGCCTGATGTCTATTATATATTTCATGCATTGGTTACCAGTCAAAATCGACCGTAGGTTGGCAAATGTTCGTTGATCGAACTTCTTCCAATGTGCTGAAGTGTGATCTCGTGATCGTCAGTACTTCCAAATTCTGTCTTGGCTCGTCAGCGTGAGCGCTTCATCCCCGCGCCATAGACAGGGGAACCCTTAGCTCAGCTGCAAACCCCGTGTTGGCGGAATAAGAAATTAGATCCAGATCATTCTCTGTCGTTTGGAACTTATTACGTGCAATCTAGCTGCTTTACGGACACTAGTCATGAAATCAGACGGCTTGATCGAAAGCAGAACAGTTAATTTTAAATGGTGCATTCGGCGGCCAGTTCACTGCGCGGTAAAAAAAAAACAAAAGCCAATCGGTAAAAAAAAAAAAATTGAACGAGAAGACTTGGAAAGCCCACCAGCAAACAAAATTGCAAGGTCTCCGGTTGAGTCTATAAATCATCAAATCATAGTGCATAGTTCACTCGTAGTTTGGTGCACCGCGCTCGCTGCCCAGAAGGCTTTAGATTTTGCGCAGTGAAGGACAAAAGATATACTTGTGCCGTACCTTTTGCTCGTGTTTGACCATTCGCTGACCGTCCTCAGCCAGATGAAGTGCCTGCAGGATGGATCTAGTCTCCGTGTGCGTGCTGAGACAACGATGCGCGGATCCGACATCGGGCGATCGTGCACAACGCGCAAGGCGTGGAGACGGTTCAGTGGGATCGTATGATGCCCTGTGAGATGTCGACAAGTCAACGATGCACGCAATTTGCTAGGAAGCACCTGAGAAGAAATAAGCCTCTGCTTGGGTGATGTTTAGAAGCAATGATAACTCTGTTTCTCCCTCTGTTTTAAACCTCAACCCAAGATCTGGTGTTGGAAACTTTAACTACACTGTACAGATATCTCCAGTTTTACAGAGAATTCTAGACAGATCTACCCTAAAAATATTTTGTAGTTTTAACGCTTTTATCCGATTTTTTTCGTTTTTTTACAGGATTTATGTATAGTCACAGTATTTTATATAAAAACAGTACACTTCGCAGCAATAATGTTTTTAATTGCATTACAGCAAAGGTAATATTTTGCGTTGAGTAAATTTGGTTCGTTTGGTTTTGTTTTTGCGGTAAATGTGGATCAGTGCGATGTCAGACTTATGCTGTCACGTGTGCCGTGACATTCACTATTATACTGTGCTGTGGAATGAAATCTTTTAAATAATAAAGTGCGCTTTTCTCGTGAAAACACATCGTACATCTTACGATAATGACTGATTGGAAAACTTGTACAGACCTTGGGAGCAAGATCAAGGCCAGAGGTGGATCTAGGATATTCAAAACGGGAGGTGGGACGTGATCCGGGGCTTTCCAAAAGGGGGCGTGAACTAAGGTAGCAATGGTATGATACGCCCGCTCGCGCGTAGCACGGAGCCCTTATACGGCGTTGGGTCCAGCCCGCTTAAAGGATTCTAGGATTGG